ATCAAACGGACAGAAAGATTTAAAATTCATAATGTTATCGTTGCCGGTGCATCAGTTGGCTATTGTAAACCATCAAGAAAAGTAATGTCATTAATGCTAAGACCAATAATTGATCAGTTAAAATATTTAGAAACACCACAATATTATCGCATTTGTGCATTAAATGATCAATTTCAATATTTAAACATCTATTTGTTAGCTACATCAAATGATAAACCCGCAAATTGTATGATTCAAATGACACCAGAACCAACAGGTGAATATGGGTGTTCCAAATGCGAAATTGATGGTGAGTGAGATCGAAAAATATTTTTTAGGACCCTGCCTTCATCTCCAATTCTGTCTTCTTTTTCTACAGGAACAACAGAATATTCAAACAAAATAAATCCAGAAACATCGAATTTAACGCCAGCCCAATTAAAAAATCGTCGATATACACATAAAATACGTATCTTTTCAACAGCAGAAATGAATAAATGGCCAACCAAAAGGACAACTGAACGTTATTTATATTACTTAAAAATATACAATGACTTATTGTCTAAACAACCACTACCAAGTCAAGCTAAAGTAGTTCATGAAACTCATGGTTATATTGGTGAATGTTTATTGTTAGAATTAGAACATTTCGATTATTCTACTGGTTTTTTAATTGATACCTTGCATTCAGTGTTTCATGGAGTTTGGGTAAATTTTATTGTAAAGAAGAACCAGCATCCTCCTTTATAAATCTTTTGCTTCAAAAAACAGATGCTTGTGCTAGTAGGAAAACCCATGTGATCACGCCAAAAACTTCGGGAAAATTCATCTTTCGGAAAAGCGTTTTCTCTTCGTAGTTTTGTCGCCCATGACTCTGCGCGGTTTTTTCCTACTTGGTTATTGGTTTTCTGCGAAGACTAACATGGCTCTTCCTATTTTCCCGTTTCTCTCGTTTTAGAAACGACTTCTTCGTTTATGGTTCGCCAAAGAAAGTAAAAACGAACCATATTCATTGTTTTATATGTCAAAAGAAATTGACGAAGAACTAAACTACTTGCGTTATCCATCGACAACAACACGAGTACCGACAACAATAATAAAATATGCAAGGATGAAAGCAAATGAGTTAAGAGTGGCATTATTTACAGGTATGCCAATATTAAAACACTATTTACCAGAACAATATTATCGTCATGCACAACTATTAACATGTTCAATATTTGTATCAGAAAATCGCGAAATATCAACAACAGCTGTTGACATCATACGTGAATGTATGGAAACGTTTATTGATTATTTCGGTTATTATTATGGAAAACGGAATGTTGTTCAAACAGTTCATTGTGTTTTACATTTACCAGATACTGTGCATGAGTTTGGTCCGGTTTATTCATATAGTACGTTTAGTTTCGAAAGTATATTAGGTATGTTACCTCATAGTAGACTTGCACGAAACATTGATTCTTTTACACTATTGTATAGTCTTTTCTTTCAGGACAAATTGCAAACACATTACATGGATGTCGTCAACAACCACAAGAAATGGCAAATAGTTTAAATCTTATTAAACTAACATCAATATTGGCAAATACGCATTGTTTAAATTCGAATTTATTTGATTGTATCAGCTATTTACAAGGACTCACCAACTCACTATCCGTTAATGTCCTGGTACCATCAAAACAATCGAAAGTAACACCAACGGACAAGAATAAATTTGACGAAATGTTTGGTAAAGATGAATATGTATTGTATAAGAAGTTGGTAGTCAATAATGTCACTTATGTCACGAATGATGCGACAAAATCCAAAACATTTGCTGATGCAGCAATATTATTTAAAACACATGAAACAAACAGATACGGAATAATCACCAAAATAATATTTGTGAAACAAACAAATGAATATCGTTTACAAATCGTCGAATTAGAAAACTTGCATTTCGAAAAAATTTACAATACGAATAATCGTATATATGATTTAGAAAACATCATTTATGGACAACTTGATATGGACAGACATCATCGATACATAAAGCCACAAAACGTTGTCGAAAAAGTATGCTACTATTATCGTGGTAATGTATGTTATTTTGTTAGATTTCCAAATTTAGTGGAATCCAGTTAAGAGATTCTTTTCTAATTTTTACGTTTCCATTTAACTCATATCATTCGTTATCCTTGCGCTGTTCTAACTTTATTTTATCTTGTTTGATTCATACACATACTATTGAAAATAAATTCTACGACGAAGAACCAGTCAGAGGTTGAACAACACATGCAGAAAAACGAGAAGATTTCCTTGGGAATTGTTTCGGCAAAAATATGGGTGTTTCTGCGGAAAAAATATTCGGCAGAATCCTGCATGAAAAAACTAAGCGCAATAAAGAACATTTCTGCGGAAAAAATATTCGGCAGAACCCCGAATGAAAATTTCCACAGAAAAACAGATTTTTCTACAGAAAAATATATCTGTATATGTTCAGAAAAAACATTTCGTCGTGAATCAGAGTTTCCCCGCCGAAAACTAAAAATTTTCTGCAGAAAAATTGAAACTCCCGACGAAAAAATATTTTTCCGCAGGAAATTGCGGAATCACGCTCATTTTTTTCACTGGGTAGAATGTGCTTATTCTACATAAAATATGTAAATCATCCTTCATCTTATCTTATCTAAATATTTGGATTACATAATTCATTTCTGAGTAGGCAAGAAAGAGAGAGAAGAAAAGAATGAGATGTAGCTGAGCCAATAAGCTCACACACCCACTTTTTCTTTCATTCTTTCTCGTTTACACATTTATTCTATTCTTTATCGTTTGTAATAGTCAGCCATAAAAAGAATGGTCTGGTTTTTAGTCAATTAACATTATGAGAAAAAGCAATAACTGAGACTGAATAGTTTTCGGAGTACTGCTTGTTCTTAGATATCCCTTGTTGCACCCTCTCGAGGCTCCATTTCTGATCTATCAACGTTAAATTCGTGATTCGTATCTCCAAAGTAGCCAAGATACGTATCAACTACTAACGGTTCTTCAAAACCTTTTGATTTCTACTTCTTTGATTATATCGAAGTTTTCAGTGAGCGTATCGTGAATAGCGATTCGGCCTTGCTGAAAGGTGTCTTCACGTGGAAAGAGAACTGCTGAGTTATTCGTGTAACTTTGTGACTCACTCGCTGCTTTATCAAATTTTTCTTGTTAAAAGGCACTGAAGGCAGAGACAGGAGAGATAGGAACGAGCGTCTGTACAGAATACCAACATGAATAGCACGCCTTATCTATTTCGTATGGTAAAAAGGAAAGAGAGAGAAAAGAAAGAAGTAAATTCAACGCAAGAAGGAAAGAAAAGAGGACGGCCTTCAGCAAGGCGGAAACACATGGTTGCGCGTTCACTGTTTATAGAATAAGCAATAATATTGAAAAAATTATCTCAACCTTATATTCCCCACTCAAAAACTACTTCAAAGATGTGGATTTAGCTGATCAACAAACATCCAAAAAGAAGACGGCCAATAACCTTAAGACTTTGTCTTCAATAGACACCGGGTGAGAACAAAGTGGAGAGCAATCACAACATCAAAACAAGCGGACGCTGTAGTTCGGAAAACACTTTCATCTCAATTATTGATGATTAAAACTCCCTCCACAGTGTCCTTTCTTTCTGTTCATCGAAAGTCTAAAGAAAATGAAGGCGTGGGCAAAAGTCTCAGACGTTTCTTAGGATGAGGCGGAATATTTTCTTTTTTTTCCCAATTCTAGTATATTATTCTCGAAGAAACGGTATGACTTCCACCGTAATTACACTATTTTTGAACTTTCCGGAAGTTTGTGCAAGTAAGGTGACTTCCAATTGACCATTAAAAATTGGTGAGTCAACTCTGTTTTTCAAGTGGTCTGTTTTCGTTCGTGTGAGAGACAAGAGTATCCTCTTTAATTCAATCCAAAGTGGTGATTTTTAGAGATTAAGGTATGAAAACTACGGATATGGCCCCCTCAAAGGCAACCGTTTTTGGAGTTCGAATAATCGTCTTTCATATATTTAACTTCAGTTTAAAGAGAAAAGAACACACACATGAGCGCGGAAGAGTTGTAGCCCATTTAATTAAGAGCGAAGAACAAGCTGAATATAATAATGATCTCAAGAAGTGCTAAAGACGTGGTTTGTTTACTCGAACCCATATGTGTCGGGTCTAACATATAGTAGTATTCTCTTTGAAGGATGTAAATCAAGAGATTTGTCAAATCTTTTGGTTCACTTATGCTGCTGGGTTTGAACCACGAAAGGACGGAGGCGAACATAGTGGCAACTAAAAGAGGCTGAGAGAGTATTTTGAAGTAAACATACTCCTACTCACTCTTGTATTATGCTGGAGGTCTTGTTTGTGTGAAATAATTGCTGAATCTCTATGACAAAACAAGTAAGGGGAGGGATGGAAGGCTTCTCCTTCATTCTTTCCTTTCCATCAACCGATGAGAATTGCTTTCTCAAAAAATATGCAAATTTTCTGCATCTTATCTTGTCCGAGTCTCGAATTCCGTAAGTTATGGGTAAGTGGGCGCAGAAGAGAGAGAAAAGAAGAGAATGTTTGAAGCATCTGAGCCAAGAAGTTCACTTCACTATCGAATAATACCCTTACTTTTCTTTCATTTTTTATCGTTTAACCCTCTATTCTATTTATTTCCTCATTTGTAACAGTCCATTATAGAAAAGAATGGTCTGATTTTTAATCAATATAGACCTCCTTTTCAGTTGTGAGAGAAAGCAATAATGGAGATCGAACAGTTTTCACAGTGATGATCGTCCTATTGCACTCTCTCGCGAGTTCTTATTGCGAAGGCTCCAATTGTGATCTGACAATGCTAAACTGGTGATTCGTATCTTCGAAATAGGCACGATACTTACCAATTACTAAAAATTATTCAACACTTTTTAAGCGATTGATGTCTGCTTCTTTGATTATAATAAAGTTTTCAGTGAGCTCATTTTAGAGTGCTAAGTTTTTTATCTTGCTGAAGGGACTTTCTTTGCTGAATTACTCGTGCTGCTTTGTTATACACTCGTTGCCTTACTCAAAACGTTTTTGTTAGAAAGCATTTCAGGTAAAGGGAGTGCAGTAAAGATGAGGAATGGAAAAGCATAACAACTTTTCATCCTCATAGAGCAACATCTCTAAGCCCTAACTATAACACGGCTGTTCAACGATGAAGTCTTTTGCTTGATTTAATTGATCGAAAGTCTTTGGAGGGAAGAAAACATACGAACATTTGTTGAGAGTTATTCACCACAAGTTTCTGGCTATTGACTTTAGTTTTCGTCTCTTTGACGATATACGCCCGTATTCAGTGAGCGCAATTCAAGTAATGAGTTTCAACCTTGTTGAAGGGCCTTTTGATGTGCAACAAGAAGTGTGCAGCTTTCTTATATTCTTTTACTGCACTTCACTTATTTTTGTTCCTTCTTCAAAGGCATTTGAGGCATTTTTTATGATGAAGAAGAAAGAAAAGAAAGAAAAGGATAGGAGTAGGAAATGGAAAGCGCGTCTGTACACAATACCAACATGGAACAAGCCTTATCTATGTGTAATGGGAAAAAGGGGAAGACAGAAGAAACGCAGGGAAGAAAATGAATGGGAGAAAGAGAAAGCATGGAGTTGCACTTTGACGTCCTTCAGCAAGGACGAAATTGCATCGTAGCTCGCTAAACTAACTGTACTTAAAAACCTAGGTAATTTCGTATCATCTTACTGAACTCGCTAAACTCCACAAGCTGGCTATCGACGAGCAACAGACATCCAAAATATATAATAGATAGTGCACATCATACATCGTATCTGAGTGCTGATCGCAACCATAGTCAGGGACAATCACAGCAACAGCAACGAGTCTGAACATTTAAACTATTTAGAAACGCTTCCCTCCTAATTCTCCTACCTAGTTTTTTTAATTTTAGAGTAGAACATAACGTATGATGTTGATTGCATCGTGTGATTTCTTTCTTTTTGATGATCGAATGCCTGAAAAAAATGAATGTGCGAACTAAATGAGAATAACCAGTTAGACGTTTTGTAGGCTGAGCTCTATCTAGTAATTTATTTTTGCGTCCCAGTTTTACTCTAGTGTTCTGGAGAGAACGAAATGACTTCCATATTGGGTAAACTATTTTTGAACTTCCGAGACGTTTTTCAAAAGACGGTTGACCTTCACATTCCTTCACCTTCATTGTTGTAGTACTTTGAATTTTGACGTTTTCACCTAGAAAACTCTCGATCCCGTTTCAAATCTGAAAACAAAGGACCCGAGTCAGAATAGTCTCGGCTACCAAATGTCTTATAACTCGACCACTATTGTGAGAGTGCTTGATTTTTGCCTTTCTGGTTCCTTAGTATAGTTCCGCATTGTTAATAAATGTATTACCATACTATTTCATCATTGAAAGACTCGTTCTTTCTCATTCTCTCTGTGTAAAAGGGAATCCCTTTTTTCCAACTTTCCCACTCCAGTTTTATTTTATTGCTTTCGTTCGCCTTCCAGTTAAGTGAAAGAATGAGAGCATGACTCAAATCACACACAAAAAATAACAACACTCAAGTATCTTTCATGAAGAATATACGGACGTTAACTAAATACTTCAACTGTCATAAAATGCTGGAAGAAAGGGAAAAGAAATGTGGGTTTTTCTCACGTACCGAGTGCGACAATTGAAACGGGGAGAAGTTGGAAATGCCTTTCTTCCCCAGTATTTCAACACCATCCCCATGCATAAAAATAAAAACGCATACAGACATATATAAAGCGAAATTCGTTATTGTTTTTTTTAAATCGTACATACACAAAAAGAAAAAAAAGAAACGGAAAATGTCACTGAGAAGAACATCATTATGTGGACATTCGGAAGGTCGACCGAGTCTTGCATCCGTTATTGAATTCAATCAGCCACCATTAGTGGGCACCTACGATTTAAATCGAGTATCATTGGAAATTAGTCGAGAATTTCTCTTCTTACTTGCTGAGCTGAACTTTCAAGCTGATGATCGTTTTAAGTTCAGCGATTTGCATGAAAAAGCTCTTGAGAGTGCAATAGAGACGCTGAAAGTTAAACATCAACAACGAATCATTCGTTTAAAAACAACAAAGAACCAGGATTGTAATGTTTATGTTGAAATTAAATTGAACTATGTATACCGACGAAAAACAGATATGGTTGAAATTAGTGGCACTTTAATAGAAAAGGATACCACTCTTCCTCTCACAACGATCAATCGAAAATCAACAATACAGGGTTAGATAATTCTTCTTTTCCCTTTTATCTTGTTTGTTTAGAGATGATCCAGAAACGACGCGATCAAAAAACCGTCTACCTCTCATCGACCTGTAACGTTTCTACTTCGAGGAACAGGGCAAAAGTTTCCGAAAATCATAATCAAAGATAGTCGAGTGCGTAAAGGTTAATTGATTTAAGGGCCTAAAATTTTTTAAAATTATAGCCCTATCTGCCCTTGAATCGACCAGTTTTTAAAAATATAGGGTAAAAACCGGTCAGACGGCATCAGTTTTTTCCGAGACTCTTCTCCCCTCATCGACCTCCACTTTTTCACAAACCTCCCACCGATAATCCCTGACACTATTCTGGACGACGCCTTATTTGCTTTCTATTTTAGTTGAACCAACGAGACGGCGAAATCCGATTCGATTTAAACTGCTTCGCAAGTATCTTTGTATCCCTCATCACCGAACGACCATGAGTCCACCACCCTCTCCATGACGAAGTTATCGCTTCTTGTTGAACTTTTTCTGTGTCGCAGGTTCACCTTTTAATTTTTCGGAATCTGTTGTGTTTAATTTAGTTATACTTAGCCAAGAAAAGAAGAGATTAATATATTCTCAGGCTCAAGCCAGTAGGCTACTGGAAGATGTTTTTAGTCGGATAATTTTGAGAATCTTTATTGGAAAGAATAGTCTTTGGCTTTTTTTGGAAGAAAAGGTCCTGATTTCTTATTGAAACAGGCAAACATTTTTGTGATATATACTGTACAGTTAAACATCAAAACTACTTAATATACTATGATACTTCCTCTCAGTGAACGCAATTAGGTGAAATACACTATCTGAGAACCACAACTCAGGAAAAAACGTACTATAATCAATCTTTGCCATAT